AAACACCATCTGCTTTCACACAGCAGCCGGAAAGAGTTTTCAAAGATCGGTGCAAAGGTCAGCAGCCCTCCGATGACTCATCCGCAGCCAATTAGTGAAGAGCAGCTGTTTAAAAGTGAACTTTGAAAATCATAATCCAGAAATATGGCCTGACGGTTCAGTAGTGGCTCATAGCTCCTCTCTGTTGTTTTGCGTTTACACGTACTCTGTTAATGCTGTTCAAGACTTAAAACACAGCTGTTTTCTCAGTGTGATCAGTCATATCAAACCTTCTTGACTGTTCAGACTGTATTCTTTCACGGTTCTGAAGATTCGATCCAGGGCTTGAACTCCTTAGTCTTCCCCCCTCCACAAGGCATTTTTATTTTTTGATTTGAGATTGGGGTCTCACTGCTTCCCAGATAGAAGTTAAGCTCCCTCAGACCCAAGCCAGGCCCTCCTACCTCGGCCTGCCTCAGCGCTGACGACAGCCATGCACCACCATGGCCAGCCTAAACTGTATTTTTCAAATTTAAGGATTTTTCTTTGTTTATTACTGTTGTAGGTGCATAGATCATTCTCAAAGCAAAAGCGAACGTCAGTCCACATTAGTTTGGCAGTTGCTTTTCACACAGAAATTATTTACTGTTCCCTAAGGAGTTATAGCTGCTTGAGGAGAAAAATGATTTTTAATGGAAGGAGAAATGAGTCAAAATAAATAGGGTTTGCTACAGAGCCACTTTCTCTTAGTAATGTACACTTGCTTTCTCTTTATACTAAACCTAATATTACCGTTGAAGTGGTCAGAAAATTGAAATACTTTCTTTTTTTTTTTTTTAAACTTTAGCATGATTTAAAGCTAGTGTTGTAAATGTGGAAGGTAGAGATCTGTGAACTTGATTTTTAAAAGAACTGATTCAGTACTCACAATGGGAGATGATGCAGACTAAATGTTCCATGTCATTACTGTTGAATATGTTTTCTGAGACTCAAATTTGTTTTAATGACAACTTTGAGTTGCACATTCTAGAGAAAAAAGTATCAGTTTTTAAAAAATAAGCCTGTTACCTATAATCAAGAAATATAAGAAAGCTAGGAATAAATGACAATGTTAAAACTCTAGGTGATGTTCGGTGCCACCCATAACAGTGTCTACTTGAGAATTTATGAAAGATCAGAAGTTTTCCCTTAAACAGTAAGCAATATCATAGCGGTGCACACCTATACCTCAGCGCTCTGGGAAGTTTGAGCCCAGCCTTGGCAACTTGGTCATGCGTTGTCTCAAAATAAAAAATAAAATAACTGGTGCTGTAGCTCAGTGTGAAGGCTGGAGGTTCAATCCCCAGTGCTGGAAAAGAGAGAGAGGGAGAGAAGGAGAGATGGAGAGAGGGGGAGAAAGAAAGAGAGAAAATGAATTATGATGGTATGATGGCTGGACATGTCAATGCATGCCTGTAATCCCAACACGTGGGAGGCTGAGGCAGGAGGATTGCTGTGAGTTTGAGACCAGCCTGGGTGACTAAGAGAGCACAAAGCCAGCCTGACCTATAGGCAAGACCCTGTCTCAAAAAGATGGAAAAAACCCCAAATTATGATGAATGCATCTTCTGTTTAGTGGCATAATGTTTTACATTTAATTGTAGAGCGTCTCAAAGACTTGTGAGCTCCCCTCTTTTTTTTTTTCATTTATTTATTTATTTATTTATTGTGTGTGTGTGTGTGTGTGTGGCCAGCTCAGCCCACCAGGGGGTGGGGCTGGCTGGCATGTGGTGCTGGAGGATCGAGCATCTATCTCCAGGGGCCAAGGAGATAGCTCAGTAGAATAAATGCTTGCCTGGCAGGGGCAAGGGCCTGAGTTCAATCCCTGGTTCTGCCAAAAAAAAAAGAGAGAGAGAGAAAGAAAAAGAAAAATTCAAACTACAAGGGGTTGTAGAAATTAAACTGATGCCCAAAAAGCAGAGGGCTCCCTCATATACAGCAGGTCTGCCTACGTCTGCCTGGTCATTGCTTTGTCATTTACTGCAGCCATGGCCCTCCAGCCGCTTGTTTTTGTGAGACATTTGGCAGTAAGTTAAGTACACCCCTTGAGCATCACTCCTAAATGTGTACGCGTGAGTCCTACTGGTCAGTCTCTTGGACAACCACAGAGCAGCTAGCAGCTCCCTCAGTTTCTGTCGCGCAGCGCGTCCTGCATTTGCGCTCTGCCCGCTGCCCAAATAACCATCCTGTGTAGTCTCTACCCCACGGTGTCTGTCCCAGCACCAGCTGTTGCATTTATTTGACATATTAGCCTTTTTAAACATGGACTTTTTGAAGAACACAGTCTCTACCTTTTTATTAAAAAAAAATCTAGAAAAGGGTCAGGGAGATGGCTCAGTGGAATAAGCGCTTGCCTGGCAAGTGCAAGGGCCTGAGTTCAATTCCCGGTTCCGGGAGAAAAAAAAATCTAGAAAATTCATCATCTTGTGCTTGTGGGACACTTCTTTGTGAGTAGATTCAGATTGTGCAGTCTTGGCTGAAGTGTCAGAATTGCTGTCTGGTCCAGCCTTTACTGTGATGGTTGCAAAATGCTGCTTTTTCCAGCTCCAGGTCGTCCTTTTCCTTTTCTTACTTATTTTATTAGGTTTTATATTGCTGTGGACTCAAGCATTCCTACTTTTAAAATTCAGTACTTATTCTGGTGCTTTCGTTGTGTCAGATTTGCCTCATGGCATGCCCTGTACTTTTTGAACTCATGCTTGCTTCTTTTTTGAATAGTAAGATGCATAGTAAGATGCCTGTCTTATAACTATCTCTGTCCTGAAATCATTTCTCTAAGAAGCTGTGTTTCCTTTTGGTGAGGAATTAAAATCTGGACCTTAGGTTTGAATGTATTACTTTTAGAGCCACTGTATAAACAGAAATACATAGACATTACTAGATCTGAGAAATAACTCCTTAGGTGTACAGTGGACAGTTTTTTGAGAACATGATACTGTCTCAGCTTTAGTTACCACAAAAAAGTGGAGTATTACTGAATAGGAAGATTCCTGTTAGTAAACTTATGCTGTCAAACCTTTCTTAGATTTCAAAGCAAACACATAGGTGAAGCCCCAGTGTCCAGGGGGCGGAGAATGAGACAGACGGTGGTAGACCTGCTACCCTGAATGCTGTGTGGGTGCACACGCCTTAGGTTTGCCCCATGGGGACAAGTGAAAGGCTGGGATAGGAAGGCGCTTGGAGGTCATATTTAGGGAACTTTGAATGTCCTCCAAAGGATTTTGAGTCTTAGGATTTGGGGTCTTTAGCAAGAAGAGAGCCACTGAAGATTATGAATGGTATCGTAACAAGCTTAACTCTGAGTGTGATTAATCTGGATGATACTTAGAGCTTAGATTGAGGAAATTTCCACTTGATAATAGAGGCTGTAGTAATAGTTCACACAAGGGACAGTGGAGATGAAGTAGAATAGGACAGGAAGAAGTAAGTTAGGGCTGTGATTTTCAGTCTGCATTCCAGAACCCCAAGGGTTGGGACCCATGGAGGGGAAGGGGGAGAGTGTATGTATTAAGGAGCAGGTTGGAATTGAGTCCCTGCTCAGGAATTTTCAAGGAAGTGGGGCTTTGTTCTACTGCTGAACAACAAAAACATGTAAAGAAGTTTTTTATTTTGAAAAAGGTAAGGTCATCCTTCGTTTGGAGGTTGTTTCTATTATTTTTTAACTGTACTTCCTTAATATTCCATTTTCCCAAAGTTTTGAGCTTGGATGATTGGAATTTTGTGTCATGGAGTAAAGTGGACCAAACACTTTTTTTTTTTTTTTGGCCAGGTCAGCCCGCCCTGAGGGCAGGGCTCGTGCAGCTTGTGGTGCCGGGGATTGAACCATGGTCCCCTGTGCCTGCCTAAGCGTTCCCAAGCAGGCGCTTTAGGCAGCATGAGCTAACGTTTTTATTTTAAATGGCAAAGGTCACAAAGCCATGCACTGAGAGTCTTATGCAGGAAACAAGGAGTTCCTGGTCAGAACTCTTGGCGTCATCCTGGATGCCAGCTTTGACTCAGCCCGCCAGGGAGGCCCCTGCTGGTTTGATTCTGGCGCAGCCCTCAGCACTGCGCCAGTCCCGCTGCTGCCAGCTGATCTCACGCCTCTGGCCACCTCCCGCCACTGTCACCTGTCGGCCCGTCCACTTTCCTTGTGGCTCATTGGTCATGAGGTGTGGCTTATACTCCCCCCGAAAGCCTTTGCAGAGTCTGCTCCAGTCAGCTTGGATAACTCTCTGCTGTTGAGGTCTTCACCAGCAGAGCAGGACGCACCTGAGCTCTTCTTGACAGTCCCCTCCCCACAGACCCCGAACGTGTCCAGTCCTCTTTGCCTTGTTCTGGTTCTCTCTGTGACACTTGTCACCTGCAGTCCTCTTTCTTGTTTATTTTGTTGTCTCGACGTCAGGGCTTAAACTCCACAAGAAGGGTAGTTTTCCATTGGTTCTGCAGCTTCTCTCCTGGCCACCGCTCTCGGCGTGCCTGGTACATAGGTGGCCCTTCACAGGCGTTGTTCAGAGAAGGGAGGACAGCTGAGGACACAGATCGGTCACTGGGCCGAGTTCCCAGGCATCTGGCCTGGGGAGGGACCAGGGTCTCCAAACCTGTGTTCCTGGGATTGGAGTCTGTGACCGTAATTGGCTTGGATGAAATAGCCGCCTCCCCATATTGCATTTATTGTCTGTGAACTAGAAAATCGTCCTTAGACCCTTAATGGCTTGAAGAACTGCAGTGGTAACCTCTAGACCTCCCTGCGCTCCCACTCTGTCTCTTGGTGACTCACCTGTCACCGTGAGAGCTTGTTGGTCCTCGGCAGAATTTAAGAAAAGCGAAACAAATCTGTAGGTCCTAGAAGATCTGGACGTTGTCAGTTACTTCGCGTTGAGGGGCGCGCTGCTTCGTGCAGCGCTCGCCCAGAGGCTGGGCAGGTCGGGCCTGAGCCCCCAGCTCGCAGCTGCTGCTCCTGACGCTCTTGTGGCCCTTGTAAAAGCTGCCTTCTGTTTCAGGTATTTGGGAATAAGATGATCATTCCTTCCCTGGATGGAGATCTCTTCCAGTGGGACCGAGATCGCGAGAGCATGGAAACCGTTCCTTTCACAGTTGAATCCCTTCTTGAATCTTCTTATAAATTTGGAGATGATGTTGTTTTGGTTGGAGGCAAATCTCTCACTACCTATGGCCTCAGTGCATACAGTGGAAAGGTGGGTAAAAATGTATTTGTCTCGGGGAAATCTGAATAACTTGGGCTAGAAGAAAACTTCTTAAGCTGTATTATAAATAGTTGAAGCTTATGATTTTGTCCTCAGGGTAGCAGTTGTTTTCATAACAGAACTGGGAGGGAGAAAGAGGAAACTAAAATCTGTGTAAGATAAGAATAAACAGCAGCAGAGCCAATAATAGCAGGAGGAAGAGAATATGGCCTACTGTGTCAGGTACTTCTGTATTTTTATTTTTAAGATGAGGCCTTAAAAAAAAAAAAAAAAAAAAGATGAGGCCTTGCTGTTCAGGCTGGCCTTGGAACTCTCAGCAGTCCTCCTGCCTCAGCCTCATGAGTGCTGGGATTATAGCCATGTGCCACCTCCTCCCCCCAGCTTCAAAGAAGAACTTTTAAGTATGAAAACATTAGAAAAAGTTGGAGTTTTTCCTTTTTGTAAAATGTATTCGGTACAGGGTCTCACTATGCAGCTCAGACTCAGTGCTCCTCCTGTTTTCAGCCTCCCCAGCGCCGGGTGTCAGGAAAATCAGTGTATCTTATTTTTAATCACATATTTAAATATAGATATCACATAATGGGTTCAATATTTGAAGGAAACAGGTATTAGCTTAAATAAGTGACTTTAATGATTTAAAGAAAGAATAAGTGGGGCTGGTGAGATGGCTCAGTGGTCTAAAGCACCTACTTGGAACAAGCTTGGCGAAGCACAGGGACCGCAGTTCGATCCCCCAGCACCACATGCCGGCCACCCCGCCCCCTTTTGGGCTGAGCTGGCCACACACACATAAATGGATAGATGGATAAATAAATAAATTAAAAAAAAAAAAGAAAGAAAGAATAAGTGAGAATAAGATTTAAAGAAAGAATAAGTCCTGCATGGCATGTGGTGAGAAGTTTTGTAAAAAGCAATACCTCTGTCATGTAGAATTCTGAGGTTGCTTTTTTTTTTTTTTTTTAACTCATCTGGAATTTTTTTTTTTTCAAAGTTTTATTGATAAACAGATAGCAATGAGACAGTTTCATATCAAATCGGAAGTACGGTTTCAACAAATAATACACTGCATATATTCTTCTTAGTGGTTAATTGCTGTACAAGATGCGGACTTGTGATCCTATTTACAAACTTCATTAGAACATCATCTGGAATTTTAAAGATAATGTTAGGGTATCATAAGTGGTTCTCCATTGTTTTTTAGATGTTCCATGGAAAACCTCCAAATGAGACTAAGTCCTTAAAATCATTTCCTGAAGTCAATATTTGTAGGGTTGATGATTTTATGAGTTGACAATTTCACCAATACTTGTTTTTTTTTCATAATTTTATTGATAAACAAATAGCAATGAGACAGTTTCAAATCAAATCGCTAGGACAGTTTCAATAATGAACACAGGGCTGGAGAGATGGCTCAGTGGTCTAAAGCACCTACTTGGAACAAGCTTGGCAAAGTAGAGGGACCACGGTTCAATCCCCCAGCACCACATGCCAGCCAGCTGCGCCCCCTGGTGGGCTGAGCTGGCCAACACACACACACACACACACACACACACACACACACACACACACACTAAATAAATGTTAAAAAAAAATAACGAACACACTGCATACATTCTTCTTAGTGGTTAATTGCTGTACAAGATTCACCAATACTTCTTATTACTTGGGTACTTCTTACACATTTCTGCGACTTCCTTTTAACTTCTGAGCATTGTAGACGCGTGTGCAATGCCTCCGCTCCCCAGGACTTGCGGCCCACCCTGATTGCAATCTCTCTGTCCAGGTGAGGTACATCTGTTCCGCGTTGGGCTGTCGCCGGTGGGACAGCGACGAAATGGAAGAGGAAGAGGACATCCTGCTCCTGCAGCGCACGCAGAAGACCGTGCGAGCTGTCGGGCCTCGCAGCGGCAGCGAGAAGTGTGTATCTGGAGGGTGGCCGCCGGGTTGCTCAGGAAGGAGTACCCCGCAGACCAGACCCCGCAGGGCTGTCCTGGAGGAGGCTCTGTGAACTGTACGGGTGCCCGGAAAGGACACTGTTCTTTTAAGAGAGACGCAGGCCCTAGATTAAAATGGCTTCGAGGTTATTAAATGCTGCGCCCACCGTCTTCCATGGGCTTCAGGGTGCAGTGTCCAGGAGGTCCGCAGCCTGGTCTTAGGCTAATGGCATTTCTCATAGCAACCTCGATAGCAGCGATTCTTGGCGGAAAGCTCTTGAAACAAAGCTAATGTGTTTTCCTTAGGCTTCGGCCTGATTAACTCTGTAGTTCTATGTAGTAGGTATGTTTATAGATCACCTATTATCTCAGATTAGAATAATCATTTAGCCGGGGAGATATCTCAGTAGAATAAGCACCTGCCAGGCAAGCACAGGGTCCTGAGTTCAATCCCTGGTACCACAAAAAAAAGAATAATCACTTATTCTTTCCTTAAATCATTAAACTCACTTATTTAAGCTAATACCTGTTTCCTTCAAATATTGAACCCATTATGTGATACCTATATTTAAATATGTGATTAAAAATAAGATACACTGATTTTCTAAAACCTAACTTTTAAGTTTTATGTTGTGTGTGGGGTAAAAATAACTTTCAATCCCATCTTTATCTTTTGAAAATGAGCCAGGGGCCCGGGGAGATAGCTCAGTAGAATAAGCGCTTCCCTGGCAAGCACAAGGGACTGAGTTCAATCCCCGGTTCTGCCAAAAAAAAGAAAGGCCAGACTTTCAGCCTTTGTCAGGTCTGATCAGTAGAAGTCAGGTAACTTTCTTGGAAACTGTTCTTGAACCCATTTAATGATGTATCCTTTCT